CGGGTTGCACGCTACAACTGGTGGAATAAGGGAGGATTGATATTGATGTGGTGGGATCGGGTTGCACACTAATTTTACATGTGATTTTGATATAGTGAAATAAGGGAGGAATATGGTATTGATTCTGATTATATGGTGGGATAGGGTTGCGCGCCGCAATGGATTTAACATGTTATTCTTGATATTTATATGGTCAAATAAGGGAGGTTTGTGTTTGTACGGTGGGATCGGGTTGCGCGCCGCAATGGATTATGTGCTTTGTATTCATTGTGCATTGTGTTAGCTTTCAATATTTTTGTACGAGATTTCAAGGACTGATATTTCTAGTTTTACTGATTTTGAGGATTGAGTTTACTTTCATAAGTTAACTCCCTTATTTTTCCTGTGTTTCTTTCCTGTTATTATTATTATACTACGTACAAGTTATTGTAAGTGACCCGCCTTAGCCTCGTCATTACTTTGTCGAGAATAGGCTTCGACACTTACATAGTACATGGGGTCGGTTGTACTCATACTACACTCTGCACTTGTGCAGATTTTGGAGTCGGTCCTAGCGGCGGTCAGTAGATTGCTCGGATTTATCACCTGACAGAGACTTGAGGTACAAATGCTCGGTGTTTTCCGCCCTGAAGTCCCCTTCTACCTTATCCTAGCTGTTTATTTAATTTCAGACAGTTTTACTTTCATTCAAACCATTATTAGTATTATTCTAGTCGCTCGTGCACTTGTGACACCAGTTCTGGGATTGTATCTAGATATTGCGATTATTATGGTTTTTCTCACTCTATTTAAGTTTATTCAGTTTAATTGGTATCAGTTAATTTGATTTGTTAAAATGGCTAAAAACTATTCTAACGTTGGTTTTCCTAGCAAATGAAATGTTATACGCCATCACTATTCCGTGGGTGAAAATTCCGTGTCGTGACATGCATATTATTTCTCGTTAATTTTCGGATTTTCAAGCGGTACAAAAAGTAAATTGAAGTAGTAAATTATCAGCATAAAATCAAGTTTCATATACGTGTATGGATTGATTTAAAAATGACGTTGTAGAAACTAATGTTGAAAAAAATCATAAGAAAAACTCAATTATAAAAATAATTAATAACTTTACATCTCAAAAGCTAAAACTGGACTTCATTAATTATATATGCAGATTTTTCAAAAAACAAAACCTCATATTAATGTTGGGCTTTAGGCCACCAAATATCTCGAGCCGCCCCTGGCTGTTGTCACTTCCACAGAGGAAATTCTAGAAGAACAACAAAGCTTTGGAAATTAAGTACTTGTGGTATGTGCCTACGATGTTGGAGGTAAGTAGAGAGTGTAGGAAAATGATACGGAAAAATGACAACGATATTGCAATAATATTATTTGTAAGCAGATACACAAATTAACTTAAGTCGTGTTAGGCACCGTCCTAAGAAACTATTCCGCTAATGTGAAATATTTCTCCAGGATTAAACAAGCCTACCTTTATTTATTTAGAGGATACATGAATCAACAAAGTTAAATAATAAATCCAGTCGGTTCAAAAATTAGAGAGAAGACTTAATAATAATAATAGGTAATGATTGTAGGAAGAAAGCAATGATTAGCTAACTATAAATAAGGAAGAAGCAAAGATGAATTCTCGGTTGAGAAGTGAATGAGTATGGTGGCTAATCCACAACTTATTTATAAGCAATTAGGTAGGTTGCATGTATGACAAGTGGAGAGTCTTTTAACACTTGTCCATATATATTAGTCCACTTGGCTTTAATATTAACAAGTGTACTTAGGCTTCCATGCATGAAGACACATGGTAGATTTGCATAGCCACTTGTCAAAGCCCTTCAACACTTAGCTTTAAGGCTTCATGCAAGAAGCCACTTGAAAATAGATAGAACACTTATAAAATAAAAAATACATGGCTATTTAAAATTTTGAAAATACCCCCACAGAAAGTACTGTCTCTGTTCCAATTTATGTGGCACTTTTTGCTTTTCAAGATTTAAACTATATGAATTTTGATCAATATTTTAAAATATATTTTTTCATTATATTAACATAAGAAGAACTACAACTTATAGTACTTTTGGTGTAATTTTTGAATATCTAAATTTTTATTTTAAACGATTGAATTGATCTAATCTAATTTAGCTTCAAATATTAGTCAAATTGACTCTCGATAAGTGAAAAGTGCCTAACTAAGTGTCGTCGTCCTTTCCTCAACATTTTTCTCGGAAATACTTTCATGGAGAGAGGACAGACAAACTCACTACACTTAGTGACGCTCCTACTACCTGTGGGAAGCGATAAAGAAAAGGGAAGGAGAGTTTAGAATCTAACGGCTACCAGGAAAATGAGTATGAGTTTAAGAGGCTTTTGCTGTGTGCTTTGTTTTTAATTATTTCTGATGACTTCTTTCGTATGATACATAAAGTCTTGATACATAAATTGTCCGGTGACTTTTTATTATGTTGTCACTTTCCAATATATAGTCTTGATTTTTATATTTTTGCTTCGTCCAAATATATGTTCTTTTATTATTTTTCATAAAATGTATCAATATTTTTAGAATTTTTTAATATTATATGAAATAAGCAATTAGATTTTTCTTCTATTTTATTTTCAATATAAAGTTTTGATCTTTATATTTTTTACTATATTGCTTGTAATTGTTTAAAATTCCAATTAGAATTTTCTTCTATGTTTAAATTCAAAAATAGTAACTAATTATTAATAACACATAGTGCATAATCTATTTATTTTTAAATTTAAATTAAAAAATTAATTATTACCTAACCTAACTAATTTTATCCTAAAATTGCCAAGTGTCTTTTTATTATGTTGTCACTTGGCTTACTATGGTGTATTTGCCCCTCCTATTACTTATAGATAAAAGATTTCGTGATTAGTCAAATAGTGCCACATATGAAACAAATAGAGTAATACTAATAATTTGTTATATATATTGTTCAAAATTATAAGTTGTTCCTAGGTTTTTGCCTAGGCTCATATTCTCAAGTTCAATAGCTTTACACTCTGTTTGGATCATTGTTATCCATCATTTTAAAATATATCATATTGTACTGTACTGTATTATACTGTATCGTTTTATGAATATAATATTTGGATAGATTGTATTATTTGTTGTTGTTAAATAATATTTTATTATTTGATTTGACTGTATCGTATTGTACTGTAACTGATAAGTTTACTAAAATATCCTCAATTGTTTTAAATATTTAATTATCAAAAATTACACATAAAATAATTTAAGATAAATAATAACACTTTGCACACTTGAAAACATCCAATATTATACAGCTAATTGAAGATAAAGTAATTAGAATTGGAATTAAAAATCAAAATAAAAGAAAGAATGAAACAAAAGGAAGGCAAAACCTATACCTCACGCTGGAGTTGGAAGCGGCAGAAAGAAAAAATGGACGAACACGTAGGTTATAGGTTAGAGTTAAAATATAAAAAAAAGGTAAAGGGTAAAATAGAATTATAAATTAATAAGTTAGGACATAATTGGAAAGAAAAATAGGAAACAATCCCACTGCACCAAATCGATTGTTTCAAAAAATGAAACTTTTCATTGTTCCGGAACAATGCATTTAACAATATAATACAACCAATTTTAACTAAGTAAACAAAACAAACATTATTTTGGGATAACAATACAATAGGATAGAATGAGTAACAATCATCCAAACAAGCTGTTAGATTATAAGTTGCCTTTACCATTTTCCTCAAAGGATAAATTCAATAAAAGTTTGCCACATTGGGAGATTGTGGGGTTTATATTTTCCAGATATATTTTTACGGATAGGTACTTTCAATATATTGGAGAAAACCTGTTATCTAGTTCCACAAACAGATTGAGTGAAACATGGCTCATGCTGTTGTAACTTCACTTATGACAATTACTATGGAGCAAGTCTTAAAATTCAATCCAAGTTTGGTTTCTGAAAATAGGGCACCCCTTGATTCTCTTAGTCGAAAACTTTCTTGCTTGCAAGCTTTCCTTGAGGATAATATGGGAAATAAGATCAATGATCAAGAATCGTTGACTTTCTTGGAGAAGAAGGTTAGAGATGAAGTTTATAAAGCAGAAATTACAGTTGATTTGTGCCTACGAAGAATCCATGTGGCTGATACTGAAAACAATCGAAACATTGCTCGTTCTAAGCTTTATGATGTGTTAGAGCAAATAACAAAAGAAATGGATTCCATACAAGAAGAGGAGGTGTTGAAGTTCAAGAATGACCATCAACATATCAAAGGAACAATTTCTTTAGCTGAAAGAATAAAAATGATTTGAAGATTTTTCTTCTTTGTATTTTCAATAAGTGTGTGTATTTCTGCAGTACATACTTAGGGTTTTATACAAATAGGAATGAATCTAGGGTTGCATACTATATTGCCAAGTGGTAATGTCCTATTAGCTAGTATAAAGTTGTACATAAAATAAATACATGAATGAAGCAAATAACTAAAATACAGAGTACCATGTGTTGTGCACTATGTGAATAATAGTGCTAGAAAAGTGCATGCCCATAAGTGGGTTGGGGCAAGCAGGCAAGTAGGCCCAATGCATTTTGCATTGATGACCCAATAATTAGGCCCAAAACCGATAGTCTCATATATGTGCTTATTCAGATCTGTAAATTAGATCTTTCATCTTCATCGGCTCCAACACCCCCTTCAAGTTGGAGGGGGTAGAAAACACACCCAACTTGCCCAAAATACTATGATGAAGAGGTCTTGTGAGTGGTTTTGTGAAGAGATCTTCCAACTGGGCAGAAGATCGAACAAATGATAACGAAATCAGCCCAGCTAGGTATTGTTCGCGCACAAATGACAGTCGATTTCAACATGCTTTGTCCGTTCATGAAAAATGGGGTTTTTTGCTATGTGAATTGCTGCTTGGCTGTCGGAGTGAAGAGTGACTGGAAGGTCAATAGGAATTGACAGATCCTCAAAAAGACGAGCAAACCATGTAAGCTCTACAACCATGCGTCGCATATGTATTCGGCCTCTGCCGAACTAAGTGAGATGGAAGTTTGCTTCTTGGATTTCCAAGATATCGGAGAGGTACCAAGGGAAATGTACAAACCACTCATCGATTTCCTTGAGTCCGGGAAGGTGGCCCAATTAGAGTCACAGAAGGCTAGGAGCTTGAATGAGGAGGAAGAAGACATAAAAAGCCCAAGCCCGGGATCTTTGAGCAGATAGCGAAGCACACGGAATGCTGCATCTGGGTGTGGCTGGCATGGGTCCTGCATGTACTGGCTAAGGTACTGGACAGTGAAGGATAAGTATGGGCAGGTGTGAGTAAGGTAGTTGAGTTTGCCAAGGAGATGGCGATACAAGGTGGGATCCTTCACTGGTTCCCCGATGTGAGTAGATAAATGAGTAGAGGGATCGAGTGGAGAAGGAACAGATGACAAATGGAGGGAGTTAAATTCACGGAGAAGGTCTAAAGTGAATTTGCACTGAGAAAGGATGAGTCCATCTGTTTCTCGGATAACTTCCATCCCTAGAAAAAAATGTAAGTCCCCAAGATCTTTAATTTTGAATTCTTGATTGATAAATTCTTTCAACGCATGTAATTATGCATTGTCATTTCCCATCTAGAGTATATCATCCACATAGATAGCCACTATAGAAATGGAAGAATCTGACTTTTTAAAGAATAAGGAATAGTCGTTTAATGAGTGAGTGAATCCCTTAAGTTCAAAGCAGTGGTAAGTTTAGCATACCACTGACGAGATGCTTGTCGTAGCCCATAAATCGATTTCTTTAACTTGCATGCATGAGTGGGGAAAGGAGGTGCAACCCCATGTGGGAATTTCATGTACACTTATTCATTTAGATCTCTATATGTCATGACCCGGAATTTCCACCGTCGGGACCGTGATGGCGCCTAATATTTCACTTGCTAGGCAAGCCAACGTTAGAGAATCATTAAACCAATCCTTATTCCATTCAGTAAATAACAGCAATTTAGCTAAGATGAAATATAGTGAGTGCGGAATGATATAAAAATGGCATTAATTACTACCAACCGGATCTGAAGTCATAATTCACGAACTTTTAAGATTTCACTACAAGTAAATATCTGAAGGAATTACAATTGTCTTCGATACAAATAAAACAGTAAAGTAAATGCATAAAAGGGGATGTCAGGGCCTGCAGACGCCAACAGGACTACCTTGGGTCTCCAAACGGATTAAGCCAGCAGCTAGACTCAGGGTCAACTCGGTCCGGTACCAAAATCTGCACCGAAAGTGCAGAGTGCAGCATCAGTACAACCGACCCCATGTACTGGTAAGTGTCGAGTCTAACCTCGGCAAAGTAGTGACGAGGCTAGGACAAGACACCTACAAATAAACCTGTACAATATGTCAATTTATACAACAATAACAACAATTAAAAAAAAAAGCCAGGCAAGAAATATTGGGAAAGGGACATGCCGAGGGGATTACATGGCGTGGAATCACAACAGGAATGAGAACATGATCAATCGATATATCTTTAACAGAAAGAAACAAGTAAACACAATAAAGGCAAATGCATGGCATCACCCTGTCACGACCCAGAATTTCCTACCGACGGGACCGTGATGGCACCTAATATTTTACTTAACTAAGATAAAATATAATAAGTGCGGAATATCATAAAAACTATATTAATTAATACCACCCAGATCTGGAGTCACAATTCAAGTGCATTCTAGAATTTACTATAAGTAATAGGCTGAAAAAAATACAACTATCTAAATGAAAGAAATAGTAGAACAGAAAAGATAGACGGGGACTTCAAGGTCTGTGAACGCCGACAGATCTACCTTGAGTCTCCGGATAGAGAACCAATAGCAAAATCTCAATCAACCCAAGCCGGTATCAAAATATACACAGAAAGTGTAGAATGCAATATCAGTACAACTGACCCCATGTACTGGTAAGTGTCGAGTCTAACCTCGACGAAGTAGTGACGATGCTAAGGCAAGGCATCTACAAATCAACCTGTACAATTTAACAGTGTATATACACATAACAGAAATGAAGAACTAAACAGGAAATGTCGGGAGGGGAACATACTGAGGGGAATACAGAAAATGCACGGCATCACCCTTCGTACTTTTACTCTCAATCTCACCATAAAATTAATAGAAACGGTACGACATCATCCTTCATGCATTAACTCTCATATTATGGCACGTCATCACCCTTCGTGCATTAACACTCACAATATGGCACGACATTACCCTTCGTGCATTAACACTCACAATATGATATGGCATCACCCTTCGTGCATTAACACTCACAATATGGCACGGCATCACCCTTCGTGCATTAATACTCACAATATGGCACGACATCACCCTTCGTGCATTAACACTCTCCCTTACCATAATGCAATGCATGAATAACAACATGGAGATAGAATAAAAAGTACAAACCTTACTTCAACATTTAGTTCCATAACATCAATCTCAACTTTGAAACAACAACTCAATTATCACCAGAAAACTCGTAAACATGATAAGAACAATAAATTGAACAACACTAGTATAACATATAGCAATTAGGCATGGGAATGAGACAATATGAGAAAAACTGAGAAACATGAAAAAAATAGGTAAATTGGCAGCGCATAAGTACTCGTCAGCTCACATATACGCCGCTCACATGAATTTCACTTAGCAAGTAATCTAAGGTTCCTAATTCCCCCAAGTCAGGGTTAGACACAACACTTACCTTGCTCTGAAGGTCACTTAATTCTCAATCACAACTTTTTCTTTGGAATTCACCTCCAAACCACTCGTATCTATTAAAAAATAACTCAATAATATCAAATATTACTAAAGGAATCAATTACATTGCATAAATTTAGATTTCCTAAATTTTTCCCAAAAAAGTCGAAAATCGACCCCGGCCCTCTTGGTCAAAACCCGAGGTTCGGACTAAAATCCATTTACCCATTCACCCCCGAGCCCGAATATATAATTGGTTTTGTAATCCGACCTCAAATTGAGGTCTAATTCCCCAAATTTCCGAAATCCCTAGTTTCTACCCAAAATCCCTTATTCTACCATGAAAACCTTAGATTTTAGGTTGAAATCTTGTAAAATGTAGTGAAAGAAACCAGTTTAGAATCACTTACCTATGATTTGGGGGAAGAGATGGTCTTTGGAAAATCGCCTCTTGTGTTTTAGGTCTTGAAAATTTGGGAAATGAATGAAAATTCCCATCCAAAAGTCATTTTGTTTAGCTGCAGACGTCGCATTTGCGACCTGAGCTTCGCAAATGCGAAGCTCGCAATTGCGAAGGGGCTATCGCAATTGAAAAGCCTTTACAATCCTTCTGCCCTTCGCAAATGCGAGGAAAGCGTCGCAATTACGATCACTGACCTCGCAAATGCGGACAAAAGATCGCATTTGCGATCCATACCCCTTCTAGATTTCCTTCGCAAATGCGAAGAAAAGTTCGCAATTGCGAACACAGGCTGGCCCAACTTCTCTTCGCATTTGTGATGAGAAGTTTGCAAATACGATCTCAACAGTGATCGCAAATGCCAACCCTGACCTCGCATTTACGAGGTCTGAGGCCTGCAATACAGTTGAAGTACACCAACTATTTTTCTAAGTCCAAATCACTTCGTAGCCTATCCAAAACTCACCCGAGCCCTCGGGTCTCCAAACCAAACATGCACGTAAGTCTAAAAATATCATACAAACTTGCTCGAGCGATCAAATCGCCAAAATAACACCTAGAACTACAAATTTAGTACCAAATCAAATGAAATTCTCAAAAACACTTTAAAATTTCTATTTTCTCAACTGGACGTTCGAATCACGTCAAATCAACTCCGTTTCTCACCAAATTTCACACACAAGTCTTAAATATCATAATGAACTTGTACCGGGCTCCGGAATCAAAATACGGACCCGATACTAACAATGCCAAATATCAATCAATTCTTAAAAACAAATAATTTCCAAACTTTTAATTTTCATCAAAAATTCATAACTCAAGCTAGGGACCTTCAAATTCAATTCCGGGCATACGCCCAGGTCCCATAATTTGATACGGACCTACTGAGACCGTCAAAGCATGGATCTGTGCCCGTTTATTAAAAATATTGACCTAAGTCAACTAAAATTAACTTTTAAGGCAAAAATTCTTATTTTCATCAATTTTCAACATAAAAGCTTTCCGAAAACCCGCCCGGACTGCGTAATAAATTGAGGAGGGTAAAAATGAGATTTTTAAGGCTTAAGAGCGCAGATTCGAGTTCTAAAATATAAGATGACCTTTTGGGTCATCACACACCCTTCGTGCTTTTACTCTCAACCTCACCATAAGAAACAATAGGAAAGTGCACGACATCACCCTTTGTGCTTTTACACTCAACCTCACCATAATAAATAATAGAAACAGCACGGCATCACCCTTCTTGCATTAACTCTCTCACAACATGGCACGACATCACCCTTCATGCATTATCACTCACTCACAAAAAGTTGCACAGCATCACCCTTCGTACTTTAACACTCTCCCTCATCAAGATAATGAACAATAACAACATGGAGATAGAAATATCAAGAACAAGTCTTACTTCAACACTCAATTCCACGTTACTAACCTCAACTTTAAGTCAATACTCAATCAATACCAATTTCCGTAGAACATAATCAGAGTTGTTCAACATAACGAATAGCTCGTCTAATCATGAAAAATATGATCAAGGAATACTACGATTACAATAATAAGACTCACTCGCATGTTATGACTCGATAACAACGCATAGGTACTCGTCACCTCACCTATGCGTTGTACTTGACATACAAACACGTAGCAAATAGGCACATAATACCTAATCCATCAAGCCAAGGTTAACCACGAGACTTATCTCGCTCCGAATGCCACTCAATACTCAATAACAACATTTACTTTTACACAAGCCTCCGGACCAATAGAATCTAGCAAATTACCAACCAAACGATTCAATTTAAGCTTTAGGAACTACCCACGATTGTAAAGAATTTAATTTAGGCCATTTTTGAAAAAGGTCAACACCTGGGCCCGCTTGGTCCAAACCCAAAATTCAGAATAAAACCCGATTACCCATTCACCCCCGAGCGCGGATATATAATTGGTTTTTGAATCCGACCTCCATTTAAGGTCTAAATCCCCAAATTTCGAAATCCCTAGTTTCCACCCAAAAATCCCCAATCCCACCATGCAAACCTTAGACTTTAGGTTGAAATCTTATAAAATGTAGTGAAAGATTGAAAGGGACTAGTTTAGAATCAATTACCTATGATTTGGGGAAGAAATGGTCTTTGGAAAATCGCCTCTTGTGTTTTAGGTTTTGATGATTTCGGAAATGAATCAAAAATCCCATCCAAAAGTTATTTTGATTAGTTGCAGATGTCGCATTTGCGACATAGGCTTCGCAAATGTGAAGCTCGCAAATGCGAGAAAAGTATCGCAAATGAGAACTCCTCGCATCTCTGCTACCTTTGCAA